TGGCATAAAAATAGACACATAGGTCAGTGGAACAGACAAGAGACCAGAAATAAAGCCACACTTATATGGTAAATTAATATATTGCAAAGGAGACAAGAACATACAGTGGGGTAAAGATAGCCTATTTGATAAATAGTGTTGGGGAAATTGGATAGATGTACACAAAAAATGAAACCAGACTACCTTCTTACACCACACAGAATAAATGCAAAATGGGTTAAAGACTTAAATATAAGACTTGAAACCATAAAACTCCTAGAAGAAAACATGGTAAAATTTCAGACATTTCTCTGAGCAATATTTTTTCTACTATATCTCCCCAGGCAAGGGAAACAAAAGAAAATTAACAAATGGGACTAAATGTTTTTGCACAGAAAACGAAACCAGCAACAAAATGAATAGACAACCGAGTCCTGTGCCACGCTTTATAGAGAGATCCTTGTTGGAGATTCAGCTTTCCCTTTTGGCGTTTCAGGACGGAGAAGAGCAGTCTGCTGCTGGTGAGTCCGGAGATGGGACCAAGTGGGTGCGGGAGGCCGGAGTGAAGAAGACCTGTGGGTTCCTGAGCACCTGAGCAGTGCCCAGCTGAGAGACATGTACCTCTAAAGGGAACCCAGGGGAACCAAGATGGCGGCATAGGTTAACGCCGGAGTTTGCTGCTTTGAACAACTACTTCAAAAGTGAAACTAAAAGACGGAATGGACATCACCCAGAACCACAGGAATGCTGGCTGAGTGGAAGTCCTACAACTAGGAGGAAAGAGAAATGCATACGGACACTCAGAGGAGGCGCAGTGCTGAAGTCAAATTCTGAGGTGCGGAGTGCGCGGAGCGGGCTGGCGGCGGAGGGCGCAGTTGGCGTTTTCAATCGAGAGGGAGTCGCAGACTCTGAGCTCCAGATACAGGCGAGTCTTTAGGGACCCAGACTCAAACGGGAGAAACGGGACTGTCTGGCTTCGGTCAGAGCGAGTGCAGCTTTCTCTCCGAGCTTTGCAGCGGGTGCTGGGACTCAGAGAGGCAGAGCCCCTGGGGACAGGACTGAGAGCCACCATAACTGCTCTCTCCGGCCCACCCTGTTGATCCTGTGCGACCCACCCCGCCCAAGCCCTGCACTGAGGCATTTGCCGGATAGCCTCAGGCAAACGCCAGATTAGCACCTCCCTAGAGGACAGAAGTTCTCTCACTGCTGACACAGCTGATTCTCATAGCCACTTGGCCTGGAGGTCAAACCCTCCCTGGTATTAGCTACAACAATCAAGGTTTAACTATAAGACTGCGAACAAAGACCACTAGGGGGTGCACCAAGGAAGCACAACAAAATGCGGAGACAAAGAAACAGGACAAAATTGTCAATGGAAGATATAGAGTTCAGAACCACACTTTTAAGGTCTCTCAAGAACTGTTTAGAAGCCGCCGATAAACTTAATGAGATCTACAAGAAAACTAATGAGACCCTCGATGCTATATTGGGGAACCAACTAGAAATTAAGCATACACGGACTGAAATAACGAATATTATACAGACTCCCGACAGCAGACCAGAGGAGCGCAAGAATCAAGTCAATGATTTGAAATGCGAGGAAGCAAAAAACACCCAACCGGAAAAGCAAAATGAAAAAAGAATCCAAAAATGCGAGGATAGTGTAAGGAGCCTCTGGGACAGCTTCAAGCGTACCAACATCAGAATTATAGGGGTGCCAGAAGATGAGAGAGAGCAAGATATTGAAAACCTATTTGAAGAAATAATGACAGAAAACTTCCCCCACCTGGTGAAAGAAATGGACTTACAGGTCCAAGAAGCGTGGAGAACCCCAAACAAAAGGAATCCAAAGAGGACCACACCAAGACACATCATAATTAAAATGCCAAGAGCAAAAGATAAAGAGAGAATCTTAAAAGCAGCAAGAGAAAGAAACTCAGTTACCTACAAGGGAATACCCATACGACTGTCAGCTGATTTCTCAACAGAAACTTTGCAGGCCAGAAGGGAGTGGCAAGAAATATTCAAAGTGATGAATACCAAGAACCTACAACCAAGATTACTTTATCCAGCAAAGCTATCATTCAGAATTGAAGGTCAGATAAAGAGCTTCACAGATAAGGAAAAGCTAAAGGAGTTCATCACCACCAAACCAGGATTATATGAAATGCTGAAAGGTATCCTTTAAGAAGAGGAAGAGGAAGAAAAGGTAAAGATACAAATTATGAACAACAAATATGCATCTATCAACAAGTGAATCTAAGAATCAAGTGAATAAATAATCTGATGAACAGAAAAAAAAATGAATAGACAACCTACTGAATAGGAAATATATTTGCTAATGACACATCATTGAGGGAATGAATAATATACAAAATTTATAAGAAATTCATACAACTCAACACTGGAAAACCAAACAATTCAATTGAAAAGAGGGCAGAGGGCCTGAATAGACATACAGATGGCCAATAGACATATGAATGTCACTAATCATCAGAGAAGTGCTAATTAAATCCACAATAAGATATCACCTGACGCCTGTCAGAATGGCTATCAATAAATCAATAAACAACAAGTATTAACAAGGTTGTGGAAAAAATGAAACTCTCATGTGCTGCTAGTGGGAAACCAGATCGGTGCGGCCGCCATGGAAAACAGTATGGAGCAGGGGTGGGCAAACTTTTTGACTCGAGGGCCACAATGGGTTCTTAAACTGGACCGGAGGACCAGAACAAAAGCATGGATAGAGTGTTTGTGTGAATTAATATAAATTCAAAGTAAACATCATTACATAAAAGGGTACGGTCTTTTTTTTCAATAGTTTTATTCATTTCAAATGGGCCGGATCTAGCCCGCGGGCCGTAGTTTGCCCACGGCTGGTATGGAGTCTCCTCAAACAATAAAAAATGAAACAGTCTTATGACCCAGTGTTTCCACTTCTGGGTACATATATCCAAAGAAACCCAAAACACTAATTTGAAAGGATATTTGCACCCTTATGTTCATTGCAGCACTATTTACAATAGCCAAAATATGGAAGCAACTCAAGTGCCCGTTAATAGACCAGTGGATAAAAAAGTGGTGCTACAAAAAAAAAAAAAAAAAAAAGTGTTGGTACATATATATACAAAGAAATATTACTCGGCCATAAAAAAGAATGAATACTTACCATTTCCAACAGCATAAATGGACTTAGAGGTCATTATGCTAAGTGAAATAATTTAGTCAGAGAAAGGCAAATATCGTATAATTTCACTTATATGTGGGCTCTAACAAGCAATATAAACAAAATAAACGCAGATTCATTGAAACAGAGACCAGATGGTTCCCAGAAGGTAGGGGGGTTGAGGGTCCGGGTTAAAAAAAAAAAAAAGGTATTAAGAACTACTAATTGCTGATTACAAAATAGTCCTGGGGATGTTAAGTACAGCATAGGAAATACAGTCAATAATGTGGTAATATCTATGTATAGTGCCAGGTGGGTACCTAAAATATCAAGGAGACAACTTTGTAAAGTATATGATTGTCTAAATATGATACTGTACACTTGAAACTAATAAAAAATAGTAAATTTAAACTGGAATTGAAAAATAAAAATATTTTAAAAGAAGCCCAACCATGACTTGTGAGTTCAATCACACAAAAAGAAAGTATCAGCTGAAACCGGTTTGGCTCAGTGGATAGAGCGTCAGCCTGCGGACTGAGAGGTCCCGGGTTCGATTCCGGTCAAGGGCATGTACCTGGGTTGCGGGCGCATCCCCAGTGGGGGATGTGCAGGAGGCAGCTGATCAATGTTTCTCTCTCATTGATGTTTCTAACTCTCTCTATCTCTCTCCCTTCCTCTCTGTGAAAAATCAATAAAATATATTTTTTAAAAAAAGAAAGTATCAATAAGCAAATTGCTACTTTACCATATTCTGAGCTTAAACATCGATAGAAATACTTGAGTTACAATATAAATTTGAAAATACAAATGTTAACCTTCATTGATTTTATTCTACCATTATCACTTTTCTTTCTCATTATTTCCCTGAATGAATGCCTGATGGTTAATTTTCCTGTATACTTGAATGTCCCAAGAAGGTTTTAATTTCTTTCATATTGCATTAACATTTTAGTTTGGTGATTTACACTCTTTGTTTTGTAACATCCTGTCAAAATGGTACAAAGTCAGATCATCCTTTAAGGAAAATTTGACTTTGATTGACATCGGTCTGTTCAACAGCCATGTTGCAAGACAAGAATACAGGGGGGTAATATTTTAAAGGATTGAAAAGAAACAAATTTTAAGCCTTGGATTTTATACAGTTAAGGTCTTTTAAATTCGAAGACACAGAAAATGATGTTATCAAAAAATAAAGTCTCAAAAGTTGTATTTCACATAAATCCCTTTGAAAATATTTCTAGAGGAATAGTCTAGTAGGAAGAAAAATAAACCTACAAACACGCTATTAGTTTTGTGGAAAAAATGATTGATGTTAATGACCTTTATTGTATCCTAAAATACATATATAAGTGTAGCATATTCAAATAACTCAGAATTAAAGCTCCAGAAAATATCCCCTTGAAATAAAGACTGCTGTGATGGAGAAAGCAACATCAGAGGAGGCAAGAGTGCTTGCTTGGCCGGCTGAGATGACATTAATATCGACACATATAAGAAACTGAAGAGGAAATTAACATAATTAATGACATAAAACCATTACAATGTAAGAAATTTCCAAATTCCATATAAATAAAAAGAACACTTGATCTATAAAGTGTAAGATTCAACGGGGCGGGGGGGGGGGGAGAACAATAAAGAAAGTATGGAAAATAAAGTGTAAACTAAGATGGCAGAAATAAATCATAATACAACAATAATTAAATGAATCAAGGTAAAGATGGTCAGATAAGATTTTTAAATGTAAAAAAATTTTAAACAAAACATATTGAAAATAATAGGAAAATACAGAGGGCAAATATGAATACAAGGATGACCTAAGCCCAAATACTGATAAAAGGTTGAATCCAAGGTAACAATGGCGTAAAGGAGGAAAAGACTGGGAGCCATAGAAGCAATGGTAGATGTAGAAAAATGTGCTTGTTCATGACAATGCAGCCAAATAAACTCAAATGCCCTGGTTCCCGTAAAGCTGTCTAAAAATATGACCAGCAAGGAGGGGACACGCATTCCTTTTAAGTGCACCTGGAGTGTTAAGTTTTCCATGTGGATCCCAATTACTGCTGCTGAAGGGATGCAGAAGGGTACCATAGGGAAGTCTGTATGGTACCATAAGCTCTCTCTAGATGGTTCAGGCTGGACTTGGGGCTCCAGACGTCTGGAGGGGAGGGCATGGAAAGGCAGGGCACAGTCAGAAAAGCGAATATGGACAGAACACACTAGTGATATCCAAAGAGGCTGCTTAAGACCTGAATCAGCCCCAGGCTTTGACCTCTTGTCTCACCTTCCACCCTACAAACCTTAAGTACCTCAGCTCACCGTGACCCATTCCTGGTTTCTGGGTGTAGCACATGTGCACATGTCTGAATGTTTGTGTATTGTCCCCAAATTTATATGTTGAAATCCTAACTCCTAAAGATGATAGGGCCATTGAGTGGTACTTGTAAGCCCTTATTAATGGGATTGGTGTTTTATAAAAAAGGCTCCAGCGGTCCCTAGCCTCTTTCCACCAGGTGAGAACACAGCGAGAAGGCTATAGCTATGAACCAGGAAAGGGCCATCACCAGAAGGTGACCTCATGCCTTGACCTTGGACTTGCCAGCCTCTAGTACTGTGAGAAGTAAATTTCTATTGTTTTTAATCTGTCCAGTTTGTGGTATTTTGTTCTAGCAGCCCTAAGGGACTACTAGGACGGCATGTTTCAAAACATACATGGAGAGTGAAGACTTGGCCAACACAACATTTGAAAAAAAGTTTTAAGTAGAAAAATTATGGATTCTTGGATTTGAAAAGACTGGATTAGTTTGTAAAAGGATGAATGTGTGTGTGTGTGTGTGTGTGTGTGTGTGTGTGTGTGTGTGTACGTGTCCCAAAGGTCTTTGTGCAGTTTAAAGCTTTATTAACTCCATAATTATAAGTGCTACAAATTTATAGTTATTATTTAAAGGTTTGACTACATATAACTCTTTTATACTTAGATTTATACATCTTGAATAACAAATTTTAATTTTTTGTGTGTAGGTAGCTCTGATTGAAAATGTGACTAAACAAACACTAAGAATTCACAAAACTAAGTAAGTGTAAAAGTTTTGAGCCTGGGTTTATACAAGACAAAAACATGATATGCAGAAACTGGGGTTGAGTACAGAAGAAATAAAATAAAAATCCCTGGGAAATAGCCACAATTTCAGGTTCAAGTTCAGATTTTCAAGGTTTATGAAACTGATGGGCCTCAAGTCAAGATCTCTTAGGGACAAAGGGAACCAGGTGACATCTAGGTTCCAGATGAAATTAATAGAAAATTGGCTAAAATCTCTTTGGCAGGATGAAGAAGAGCTGGAAGGAGAGATCTAGAAGGTCCAGAAGGGTACAGGGATATGTGGGGCTGGGTGGTGGGGGATGGGCATCCTCCTCTTCTTGTCCCTCCCCCACCCGCAGGAACCTTTATGACAAGGTCACAGCTCTGTGATGCAGGCCTGGGTTTCTGCCCAAAGTGAGCTGACAGTGTTCAGTTGCCTGAGGGCAGCTGTGCGATTCAGATGATGGAGAGCCTTCTCTTCCCTCTGAAAAGCGCCATTGCTACCTGGCAGCGCTCCAGTCCTTGCTGGGTGATCGATGCCATCCTCGGCATCGTGTGTGGGGTGCTGCTGTACCTTGTGTTAGTCCAAGGCTCCGAGAATGATGGACCCTCCCCACCACCGAGGGAACATAGAAACACCAGGAAGGTAAGGATCCCTTGGCCCAGACCCAACAGAAATAATCTTTTTTCTCTTCTTATACCGACTTTTCTGAATGACCCAGGGAGACTCCTGCGATGGGAAGAAAGAGCAAATGCTCTCAGAAAAGACTAGAACCTCATCCCTCTAGGGACCAGCCAGGCGGGGCAGGGGATAGAGCAGGCGGGAGGATTTCTATGCAGAGATCTCCGACCAGGAGGCCAGGTGTGGTGGGGGCTCTAGGGCACAGCCCCAAACACAGTGACCAGAGGCCAAGGATGGAATTCTCAGGGCTGGACCGGTGGGGGACAGGCCCAGAGTCCTGGTTCCCCACCGCCTTCCTCGGCAGGTGCCTGGGGCGAGCCTCCCCTCTGTGGGGCTGATCCGAGGGCAGGGACCTGAGGGAGCCCCTGGGGGCCGCTAGCAGGGGCTGGGGTGGGCTGTGGCCTGAGGGAGCTCCAGGCGGGCCCACAGGTCTGAGGATGTGTGTGTGTGTGTTTCTTGAGCTGAGAAACAGAGATAGAAGAAATCAATGGTGCATCTCACATAGAAAATTCTTTTTTGCATTCTTCAAAGAAGAAAAAATATTTTACCCACTTTACAACTAAGTAAAAGCCAGCTTTAAATCAACATGGTTTTATTTCTATCATAAATACTCACTGAACCATGAATTTCTCAATACTTTTGGAGAAGAAACAATAAAGCTAAGACTCCACAGAATACTTCAGCATTAAAGACACTCTGATACTAAAAAATAGTAATAAGTAAAAGAAGAACCAGAGCGCCCCAGTAGGTAAATGTAGAAAGTAATATTGCTCACGAACCCTGAGCGCCTGCCGCTTGTCTAGAGAGGAGAGTGAGAATGGGGTCCCAGCCCCTCGTTTTTCTTGTCTCAGCGTTCAGTGGAGCTGAGGAGGAGCAGCAGGAGCAGGAGAAGGAGCAGGAAGAAGAATGGAGCTTTGAAAGGTGAGCTGCTGCCCTCCCTCAGCCCTGCCTGGGAGTTTGCCTCCATCTGCATGTCCCTGAGGCCCAGGGCCAGTCCCCGAGGATGCCAGGGCAGAGCCGCCTCTCGGGAAGCAGAGCCCTCGGGAGGCTCCAGGAAGGAGGGAGAAGGCAGATGCTTCCCAGATTCCGTGCTGGGAACCAAGCCGTAGGGCCTGGGAATGGGTGTCTCCCTAGCAGGGGTCCCAGGAGGGGCATTGGGGCTGCGGTGGAGCAGTAGTGCCTGACTGGGAGCTGGGGCCTCCAGGTCCCGCTGTGGGCGTGCTGCTCACCTTTGCTCAGATTCCTCCCAGGCGCCCCTGCCCTTTCTCCCCCACAGGGAAGTAGGGAGGGCGCAGGGGGTAGTGGATAGGAAACACTTTGTAAATGACAAAGCACTACCTGTCCTGAGCCTTGCCATCGCTGTCAGGGGTCATGTGGCCTTGACCCTGATGCTTGGGCTCCTGAGTCAGCTCTCCAAGGTGTCACTCTTAAAGGGCCATGGCATTCAGCCTCCTGTAAGACCCCCTGGCCCTGGTGCACCATGTGACCCAGTCTCCTGACTTCCAGCCTGCAGAGAGTGCCTGCAAGAACTGGAAAAGGCTCGGAGCCTAATCAATCTTCTTGGAAGGTAAAGAATCTTCCCCTTCTCTCCAGGGTCCTCTTCCCTCCTGAACTTATGATGTCACCTTAGGCCGCCTGGCTCTGACCTGGGAGGGGCCATGGGACAGGGTGTGGCTATGGCCCTGAGGTGAGGGACAGCAGGAGCACTGGGAAGTCAGTGTCAGGGCCATGGAAAGGACCCTGGGCCCCAGGTGTCCACCCCGCTCAGCCTGCCCGCCTGCTCCTGGCTGCAGCCTGTGCCTCCATCTCCTGCAGCCACCTGGAGAGGCCCCCTGAACAGGGCAGCTTTCGTCAGCGCTCCCGTCAAGACCCCTCTGGTGAGGTCTGCAAAGCAGCGCCTGCTGGAGCCAATAGTCCCTGTGGGGAGCTTGTGGAAGATGCTGCTCCCACCATGTCCCCCTCGGCTTCTCTGGCTCCTGTGACTGAGTGCCCGTTACCTCTGGCCTCCACCTTGTCACCAGGCCCTACCAACTCCTCAGTTTCCCTTTATTCCCACTCATCCCTGAGTGCCTCTCGGCCACCAGAGCCTTTCCTTCCCCTGGATGACCTATCATCCCAACCACTTGTACTTTCCTGTTCCCCTTCACTTCCCCCTGACTCAGGGGCCCACTCTCCACCTCCCACAGCCTCCTCTGTCCCCCCACCACCAGCCTCCACTCTGACTCTTCCCCAGTTTGATTCAGTGGCACTGACACTGGGCCCCACCCCGCAGAGCTCATGTCCACACACACCTTGGATGGCTTCTCCCACCCCAGCCATCTCAGGCCCTGGCCTCTCAAACTGTCCCATTTCAGCCCTGTCCTGGTGGCAGGTGGCTTCCAAAGCCTCATGCCTCTCAGCCTCATCACAGTGGGAGTCCCAGCAAGAGCGCCTGTCTCACCACCCACCAGAGGCCTCGTTCCAGGAAGACCCCACAGACAGACAGGCAGAGGCTGGGGGCCTCTCTTTGCTCAGCTCTGATGAGCAGAACCTCCTGGAGAAACACATCGCAAAGAGAATCAACATAACGATTTTGAAAGAAAATGAAAAATATGCATTATATCCAAAACAAATGAACCCAAACTACCACCCGCACTCTTTGGGGAATACGTGGAAATCACTGGGTGCTGAGCAGGACACCACAACCCCCCAACCCTTCTGGAGCATGAAGGACAAACAAGAACAACTGCATAGTCCTCTGCAGCTCTACAGCCAGCTTTTTTGGGGTCTCCCCTCCCTGCACTGCGAATCCCTGGAGGCTACTGCCTGGACATCGAAGGGCTCTTCCACATTACAGCCTCCACCTTTCTTATTCAATGGCATCTCGAGTGCCTGCCCAGTTCCACTGCAGGCTACAGTGCCTCCACTGCCTTCCCATTCCCAGCACATGTCTCACTTGGAGTTCCAATCTCCACCCTTGCTTCCAACCATGCTTCAATTACAGCCACCACCTCTGGCTCAGGTCCAGGCCCGGGGCCATCTCCCATCCTCTCTACCAACCCTACCACCTTCTCCACCTCAGATGAGGGGCTGTGGAGTACCATGCCCAACGGCCCAGAATAAGCCACAATCTTTAATCCCAGTTGAGATTCAACATCCAGAAAGGCCCTTGTTGCAGAAGCAAGTAGAAAGTGGGTGGGATTTATCCTCTGCAGTCAACAGATCTCAGGAAGTCTTCAGTGTCTTCACAGCCAACCTTCCCAAGAACAGCATCCTTCCTGAGAATTTTCCAATCAGTCCTGAGCCCCGGAAGCAGCTGGAGCCACATCTCCAAAACTCACATATGAAACACAACTGGGAGCTGTTCCCCAAGATCAGAGAACCTCCAGAACTAGGGCAACATCAGAGCGAATTACCAGGGACATGTCAGGCAAAGGACAAGCATGAGCCCTCACAGCCCACTTCACTCACAGGTGAAAGCAGCAACGACGCACAGAACGTGGGGCTCCAGCTAAGCCCCGATACAGGGAAGGTCCCAAAAGATCTCTCCAGGGGCTCAGAATGCTCCCTAGTGACGTTTCAGAGGGGAGACTCTGAGGAGTCAGAAAGTGACGAAATGCTTTGGAGAAGGGACTTCGGAAGTGATTTACTGAGGAACTTAGACAAAAATCTAGAAAACACGCTAAAAGGCCACTTGGGCAGCAAGTTGGGACAGATGAGCAAGGACCTGATGAGTGTGCATGGACCCTGGCTTCCTGTCAGCCACTCTTATGCCAAGGCTGACACTCACATGGAAACCAAAAATCTGGGAATCTTAAATGGCTGGGAACCCTGCATGAATGCCTCCCATGGGGCCTTCTTTCTTAATACAGACATTCAAAAGGTGCTAGAAGCACATATTACAAAGTTCTGGGTGAAGCACCGGTGGGGCCTGCCCCTCAAGGTCCTCAAGCCCATGAGTCTCATTAAGTGGAAAAGGGCTCAGGCCTCACCCATTCTGCAGTTCCCCCTCCCCCCTTCATCCAGCTGTGTATCTGGGGCCTACTCGATAGTCAAGTTTGTTGAGTTCCCGGGAAAACCTCCTCAGGCCTGTCCAGGAGAGAAAGTGAAGATAGAAGACTCAGTTCCCACCCTGGCAAGGCCTCTCCTTGCCTCCTCACCTGTGTGTGAGGACATGCAGAGTGCTCTGGAAGGGACCCCACCTGGTGCTGACCATGGGCCTGCAAAGGCCCCTCTGACTAGACAGGTGGAGAGGGCCGAGAGGGGCAGCTTAGATCTCAGTCCAAGTTCAGCAATGGCCAGGAATGAGCCAAGAGGAAAGAGTAGGAGCGGGGCCTCACAAGACCCCTTCAATAGGGTAACAATGCTGGAGATGAACTTAGGATCCCAATCTTTGAGGGCCAAAGAGGTGGAGACAATGGAGGCCAGTATGTCCCCTGCTCTTCAACCAGAATTGGGAACAAATGTGCAGACAACATCCCAAAACATCAATGCACATTTGAGGAATGTGGAAGCTCCAAGGACCAGTAGCGGCTCCCTATTCCCTAGAATGTCTGTTCTCCAAGATCCAGGAGAGCCATGCCTTAAAAATGAGGTCACTAATGAACTTAAGTCCAAAGTGAAGGTACCGTCAAAGAGCCAACCTCAAGACTGTCCCACACACAAGCCCCTTGCTGCAGACAACTTGGCTTCTCAGGTGCACCATTGCCACTTCCAGAGAGAGCTCCCTGGAGTCAGGCTAGCTTCCCATGTGTTATGTGGCCTTAAGACACCCCAAAGGAGCAGCCAAGGGAAGCAGGAACCCAGGATCTCAAATGTTCAAGACTCCTGGAAGAATCAGAGACAAATGATCGTCCCTGCCTGTAAGAGAGAGAATTGTAGGAGGCCCAACCCAAGAGAGCAGGCAGAAGGGCCTGAGAAATTGGGGACTTCTCATACCATTAGAAAGACCCCCTCTGCCATGGCTGTGGGCACAGTAGACTCTGTTGGGAGGAAATACCTTCAGCTGGGGCCAGAGAAGAAACAGGGCCCTCCAGAAAGTTTCTTCAGACAAAGAATGAGGCTCTATTTTCAGGGGATTTTCTCCAATAAAAAACTCAAAGGTCAGGATGCTCTGCTAAACTACAAGCTCAATTCAGCCCCTGCCCAGGGCCAAGGACCAGTCAAAAGCATATCAATTATGGACCCCAAGATCCCTGAGGCTCAGACACTCATAACAACTGTAGGACAGATTCTAGAGGAGAAAATTGCCATTTACCATGGACTTCATACCACAGCATTAAATGAGCACATACAGGAACCCCAAGCCCCAGTGTGTGGGTGCTTTTGCTACAACAGGCTTCCCTTCTGCTCAGAGAAAGGGGGAGCGATGAGTCATACAGCCTGCAGTCAGCAGGCCAACTCTAAGGACCAGAATTGTTCCACTAGGGAAGGGCAAGTCCGACAGACAAGAGTCCTTGGAAAGTATCAGATTCAATGATGAGCCCTTGGGCCTGAGTTGCCTCACATCTCTGCCCCCCAAGAAGATTTTGTCTCCAGTCCATCTCTGCCAGTATGGGCCAAAGGTGCCAGGTGCCCTAGGCCACCATCAACACTGCCCGAGGCACTGCCTTTTTCGGGTGGGTGTCTTGCCTGGTCGACCATAAACATGTCTCCATGAAAAAAATCAGTCCATTTTCTCAACACATTCAAAATATTTAATTTTCCTCAATATATGTTTGTTTCCTCCTAAGAGGTGGTGCAGTGGCTTCTGTCTGTACTGTGCTCGGTGTGCACTTTGGCTTCTAGAAGAGAGGGGCAGAGAGGGAGACTGACATTGCAAGCTCACTCCTTATCTCAAGTCCCTTCATTGCACCATATGTTTTCACAAATAACAAAAACTATTCAAACAAAAAGAGAAAAACCCATGAAGGCCCCACCCCAGGATCTGGTTCAACCCATCTTTCTCCTGCTTCCGCTCTACTTTGAACTTTATGCAGCTGTAGGGGACAGGTTTACGGGGACATCACAGGGCTGGGCATTCCCACTCAGGCTCCAGAAAGTATCAGAGCAAAGTGGATGGAAGTTTGGGGGGTGGGGGTAATGGTGTGGAGGCTGCTGCGCCCTGAGTTCAGAAGCAAGCTCTTGCTGTGAAATTGATAACATCTGCCCTTAAGACCCCTTCTCTCCCTGATGAAGGCTGGGGTGGAGATGGCCCTGTGAACCCCTCTTAGCTTAGCCTGGATAAAATACAGCTCACCCTCCCCACCCCTGCCTTTCCCACACTTAGAGCCCAGTGAGAAAGGCACTCTTCACTCTGTGGATAGGTGGCAGCGTCAGGGAGTCTGCTGAGGGCTGAGTTCACCTCTGCCCCAAATGAATGAATGGCCATGGTCATGGGTCACCTGCCTTCCTCTATGTAAATCCTAGGGAAGGAGTTCTGGCTGGATGGGATGGAGCATGACTGTGTGGTACCTACTAGTATCTGACGGGCAGACACGATGAACCTCAGGCGGAATGTGGGTAAAGAACTGAAAAGGTTGGATCCAAGGAAGAAGGCAAAGTGGCACAGTGTTCATCAATGTGCAGCGACCGAGGAGCCCGAGGTCCCACCGCCATCTCCAGCCCGGGGCTGGGGGGAAGGGCTGCACCCCAGCTCCCTGACCACAGACCTAAAGAAGCCACCTCTAGGGCCAAACATAAAAGTAAAACAGGGAGGGTTAATGTCCTCACAGTAGTTAATAAGCTTGCGCATCCTCACCTCCTGAAAGGATGACTTACGACACGTGGGAAAGCCAGGACTAGGGAATTCGGGATGCCACACCCAGTATGGGAACCTTCAGAGAAACACATGAACCAAGACTGCTCCGTGGGAGATATGGGGACTCAAAAGGCTGAGAGACCAGCTGCCATCACGTAAGTCTTACCGGGCTCCAGTCTCGCTCACCCCAGAGCCGGGCAGCAGAGGCCATCGGACAGGACATGGCACACGGGAAAGTGGAAGTGACCTGCCCAGGATGGGGGCTGCAGCCCAGGAGGGGTCTCTTTGTGCTCTGCGCCTAGTGCAGCTGCCCCCTCCCCGCCCCCAGCCACACCTGAAGCAGAAAGACAGCAATGTCCCTGGAGTGACTGTGAGGATGGGGGCAGCAGTGACAGCTCAGCCAGGACCTGTGGGAAGGGTGACACCCAGGGCAGAGAGTGCCTTGCACCCTCAGGAGCTCAGGACCTTGAGCCTGGCTGCTGCTGGGTGCTCCCAGGAGCACAGAGAGGTGAGTTGTTGGAGTGCAGGAAGCTGGGCGTGGACCCCACGTTCCTGTCAGAAGTGCCACAGACTGGGACGCTGGTGAAACGAGAAACAGGAAGGAGCAAGTCCCTCTGCCCATCTGCTGCTGCTCAGTCTTCCATAAGGTGCAGGAAGGCCAACTATGGAGAGGCCCACACAGAGACCTCACACACAGACACCTCCCAACAGAGACAGACAGAGACCTCACAGAGAGACCTCTCCACAGAGACCTCTCTCACAGAGATGACATGCAGAGACACCTCCCAACAGAAAGACACACAGAGGCCTCAGAGACACTGACCAACAGAGACAAGAAAGACCTCACAGATACCTCCCCAAAAGCAACACACAGAGACCTCAGAGACACCGCCCAACAGAGACCTCCCACAAGATGACTGGCAGACACTCGCCACAGAGACCTCACAGAGATATCTCTCAACAGACACCTCTCTCAGACACTTTCCACAAAGACCTCATACTAAAACCCCACACCAATGTCACAGAGACTTCCCAAAGATCCCTCCAACACTGACCTCACCCAGAGACAATACACAGGGGCCACATGTGGCCTCAGAGATACTTCACAGCAAGACCTCACAGAGAGACTTCCTGTAGAGACAGGACACAGACTCCCACTGCCCCTCAGAGACTTGGCACGGACCTCACATCCATGTGCCAGGATCCTGAGCATCACCATGTCCTTCCTAGGGCACATGAACCCCTTAGCCACCTGGCAGCACCAAAGAGGTCTCAGCTGTGCCCCCTTGAGGTCCTCAAGACACTGTTAGTATTACACTAAGTGGGGTGTCTGCTTGGGGGGGATGCTTGGGAAATTTTGTTCTTTTGTAGTATCATTGCCTCTGAACACGAAATTACAAATTCCCTGTGTAGATTTGTAAAGTTAATTGTTCCACGGGTTTTCATTAGTTGGAGAATCGCAAATTTAAAAAACAACTAAAACATAGTCTCCAATGAGACAAAATCTCTTTCGTCCACTTTCAGTTACTGTCCAGCCAAATGCTATCACTGTCACATTTTTATTTTGTTGGGGACAAGACCTGAACTTGACATGACTTGTTTACTTTGGGACATCATGACAGTGTGCAACAAATAGACTCTAGGAACAAAAGAATCCAGGAATGAGTCCTCTGGACTTCACACTTGCCTCCCAGGAGGCTAGCTCACTAGCACAGCATCTTGCACATTAACAGCTCGCACCAGATTTGTGGTGGTGGTTTTATTTATTTTAACAAACACTCATGAGCATTTTTCACAAATAAGTCATATTCCTGGCAATATTCTTATATCATCTGGCAAAATTATACTTGTTAAGCATGTTATTCCTTAAAATGTAGCAATGCCCTCAAAAAATATTATTGCACATGTTCCAGGATATGACAGTCCTAAAGTTCAGCTAACATACTTAAAAGGATGACCTATTAGGATTTTATTTTCAAATAATTCTATGAAATGCATATTTTCTAAGGCAGCATGCATTGTGCAATAATTATAGAGCTGAAAAGGACACATGCTTAAAACAATGTTGAAATATTACAAAACAGCGTAAGGCCACGCTGACATACCTATAGCCTAATGCAGGTACTGAGGAAGGACTGCTTAACATCCAAGTGGAAGGCAGTGTTCATTCAATCATCCTTTGTATTGTAATAAAAAATAATAACAGGCCTCACATGTATCCAGCACTTTCCAAAGGGTGCACTTGCAGAGACTACCTATTTCTCACTGCCAATAGGCAGCCAGTTGCCCTTGCCTTGGTAAAGTCTCTTTTAATGACAGTTGTCAAGTGTGTATTTGGTTCAGTCTCTCAAATGATCCATCGGGATGACAGCCTCAGGCCTCTCTCTAAGGGGAGCGGGGCTGACACCAGGGCCTATTTATCTCAATGAAAAGTAATCCTGCCTTCTGTTCCCCATAATTAACAAGTGTGTAACTATCAATTTTTCTACTCCCTTAAGTCACTGAATCATAAAATGATGGAATATGGTCATGGTTTCATCTAACATTCTCCAGATCTTTTTTTACGGTGCAACATATGCTGGTTAAGTTTATTAATCAGAATAAAATGGGATCGATTGGGGAAAAGTTCATAGAGGAAAATATCTTTTCTAAGTTGACTATATTAATGGGGTTCAAATAAGTGATTATTCTTTCATCATTTGAATTAAAGTTGAGGATAAAAGATATATAGAGACAAGTGAGAATGACAATACAACATATCAAAACCTCTGGGATTCAGTGAAAGCAGTAATAAAAGGGAAGGTTATATCATTAAAAACCTATCTCAAGAAACAAGAGAAATCCCACGTAAACAACCTAGCATGACATCTTAAAGAACTAGAAAAAGAAGATAAAAAACCAACCCAAAGTCCGCAGAAGAAAGGAAATAATAAAAATTGGAGCAGAATTGAATGAAATAGAGAACACACAGTCTATACAAAAAAAAAAAAAACAATAAAACAAAGAGCTGGTTCTTTGAAAATATTAATAAAATTCATAAAACCCTGACTAGACTCACTAAAGAAAAAAGGAAAAAGACCCATATAAACAAAATCAGAAATGAGAGAGAAGTCACCACAGACATTACAGATACACAAAGGATCATACTAGCATATTATGAAAGAATATATGCCACCAAATTTAATAACCTAGAAAAAAATGGATAAGTTCCTAGACAGATATAACCTTTCTAGACTAAATCATGAAGAATTGGAAACTCTAAATACCAATACACTTGCTGCTCCATCAAGCATCAGGCATTCGTGAGGTAAGTTAGACATTGCCCTGCCTTTAGAGAGCCCACGATGTATGGGGAGAAAGAAAGTTCACAGACAATTTGAACATATGACAACTCTGGGTGGTATCAGAGTTTGTGAGAAGGGCATCCAACCTGGAGGGGAAGCAAGGGAGGAAGAATGTTGTCAGAGAAGACATTTTAAAGAGATGCTAACTGAACAGGGTCTTGAAATTTGAACTGGAGGGGACCAAGCTAAGTGTAGGGAATGATAGTACAAAAGTATGTAAATGGCATAGAGGGTGGCACATACAACTGCCTGGAGAGTATAAAGAGAGAGGAGGTAGAAGAGGATGCAGTTATGCAGTGCCTTGTTAGGATGGGTCATTTATGCCCTGCCAAGGAGTTTACATCCTTTGGCCACTGGTATCCATTCCTTCCTTGCTTTGGGAGGAGTTATTTTACCTTGTGTGCAGTCTTGGTGGCATTCTTAATTTAAACACCCTCTGCTACCAGCGGATGGATGGGCAGTTGACTCAAGCTAAGCCAATTGAAACATCACCAAGTGTGAGAGGGAAAGTGGTTAAGGAGAATATGGAAACATCTTCATTACAGAGAAAGTGATGGGGGTTTCTTTGGGTCATGAAAAGATTAGGAGATTGGATGGAAAGCCAAACCCAGGGTAGAGATGATGTGTGATGCTTTCCTATAGCCTGGATTCTTGTTACTTTATTTTCACATCTCATAACTGGATATAAATACTGAATTTTATTGCCCAGTTGGCATGGCTCAGTGGTTGAGTGTAGACCTATGAACCAGGAGATCACAGTTCAATTCCTGGTCAGGACACATGCCCAGGTTGTGGTCTCAGTCCCCAGTGTGGAACATTCAGGAGGCATGGAATTCATGATTCTCTCTCATCATTGATGTTTCTATCTCCCGTCTCCTTCCCTCTCAATAAAGATATATTTTTTAAAAAAGTAAATATTGTATTTTATTCACTGGAAATATGTACTCTATAGTTATTGTAATCATATTTTAGAAATATTTTTATTGATTTCAGAGAGGAAGGGAGAGGGAGAGAAACATTAGTGATAAGAGAGAGTCATTGATCAGCTGCCTCCAGCACCAGGGATTGAGCCCGCAACCCAAGCAAATGCCCTAACTGGGCATCAAACTGTGAACTCCTGATTCATAAGTCAATGCTCAATCACTGAGCCACACCAGCTGGTCTGTGTTCAGATTTTCTAATCAAAATTTAAATACTTAGTGTTTTAAATCAGCACTGTTACGGAAAATTCAGACTATGTAGACATCATTTCTCTATGGCAGTTTGGATGGGGTGTACTATAAGAAATTTTTTTGAGTAATATATGCAAAAACCCTGTCCAATTTTACTCTTATCCCATGTTCACCTAACAACCTTTTTGAAGTTTCAACCCAATAACAAGGTT